CCCCGTAGCTTCGATGAGCGCCAGACATCCTTTGGGATAGGCTCGACTTGAGGAGACTTGCGCATCGGCCGAGACAACCTCGTTCGCCGTTTAAAGTGTGACGACTCCGTACTATGTGATAGAAGCCTGTCCAGGACTGCTTGACTATTCCAGAAGTCGCCAGAAAGATGACCGGCATCCTTCGCGGCAAAAGGGCGCGTGGACGGCTATCGAAACCTTCAGAGTTCAGGCGCCGTATCCTGAGGGCGGCAAGCGTTTCTTCCGACGACGATATCCCGGCGGCCATCATAGCCTTATTTTACTTTGAACTGTTTTTCCTCTGTGATTGCGTTCGTTTCTGCATCTGCACAAACTCGTCACTGCAAACCCCTTTCTACCCCTTTTCTGCACCTGTCGAGCTTGCGAACCGCCATCTCCAAAAACTCTGTCACCGCGCCCTCCCCTCCACCAGGTCCTCGTAAGATAGCATCTTGTTCTATATCCTTGGCCACCAGTAACCGTGTCATTCTCCAGTCAATTCTCATCCTCAGTTCCCATAGAGCGAGGTGCTTTGCTCTCCGACTACGCAAATGTTGCAGCCGGCCAAAGAGTGAAAGCTGCCTCCCTCCGGCCCTGTATCCGTGTAAGGCCGCTTCACCCGACGGGCGAGTCTATGTCGTCTGACGACCAATTTCACAGCGTCAGCAGAGAAGCCAGAACTCGAGTATTCGTCTTTAGCCCCGTTCCGAATCCGCTCCGAGCGGGGCCCGGATGACCGTCACGTCGCGGGGGAACGGATCACGGGCGTTTCGGCGGGGCTTGGGCCCGGCCCCTACCGCCGATTGGATAGTTTCAGGGGCGGGGGTCCAGGCCCATGACCCGGATTTGATGTTTCTCACGTGGCTGGATGACTGAGCTTTTATCAGTAGCTTTCGCCGAGAGGACTAGATGAGGATATTACCAATATGTGTGAATTCCTCTCCATTCGCCGATTCGTTGTGCGGCTGTGGAAATGACTTCCACCAACCACGAATATGGCTCAGCTTGACTGCTCGCCTCTACGGATACCTTGATCTGTTTCGCGGGGTTTTCAGGCTGTCACAGCTGCCACCCAACCAAGCTATCCGTAGGGCCTCGTCTTCTGGGATGTCTTGACGAGCTCAGCACGGCTGATGCAGGACTGACCTTAGGTACCTACTACGTAGGTAGTTCAATGTCTCATCGAGGAAAAGCCACCTGAAAAGCCCTCCGTTCAACTGGAACTAGTTACACTACCTAACATAAGATGTAGATCAACGGCGCTTGACCTCATTCCTGCTCTCAGTCCATCGCATACTCAAAGTGGCTGAGCGATGTCATGGTATTTTAGGATGGAGGCACAGAACTTAATCTAAGGTAGGTATGGCATTCTCAAGTATACCAAAGAACATTTGGTACACCTATCCAACTATCTCAACGCAAGCCACCTGCTGTTGGCCCCATCTCTAGGGTATGCCATCTGTGCTACTTCACCAGCATACCTCTGCGTGGCAGCCTAGTAGGTAGCTGTTGCCTTCATCGAAGGAATGGCACAATGCACATTCGCACTCTTGAGAAGAATAATTATCGATGCCTCTGTGAAATGGCATGGTCCCCAAATACCGTTTGCTAGCAGTAATGCGGGCGACAAAGTCATCAAAGTAAGGTAGCAGCGTCGTCTCGAGCGTCTGGCCATGAGACAGACGCGGAACTTGAGCAACTCTGAGACATGCCTACAGTGTCTTCCATTGATAATAGACTGCCAATGTGTGACGAAACACCCATGGAGAACCCAGCCCGCATAGTTTGCACTGCCTACTACACATCCGTGGCTAACAAGCACAAAGTACTTCGTACCCGGATTGGCCTTCAATAGCGAGTTGAACAGAATCAACCTGAACGAACAAACTCTTCTGGGCTGTGATCCACAGTGACTAGCAAGTTCCTTCGAGCCTTTTTTCATTTCTGGGATCTGCCAATACTGCCTGAAAAGTCAATTCAGAGAATGACAGGCTGGGCGAGAGGACCTCTGTGCCTCCCAGCCACCAGGTCATCCGCCCAATTCCACTCCGCTCGACGTCGATCAGCAGAACTGACCGCCTCTGTAGATCGCGGGAGGCGTCTTTAGTCATCCCATCTTCTAACAGAGGTTGCGGTTCAAGACACTTAGCGGTTGCGGGACCTTGAGAGCCTGCCGCCTTTCAAAGTGGACGGAAACGTCATGTCCCAAAGAGAAACACTAGAAAAGAACTGAGTCGGCATCGACCTTAGATTGGCAGAAGAAACGGCCTGGGAAGGTTCCGGGGGGGGGGGGGGACAACCAAGGCCGTGCTTTTGCGGCCAGCTGACTTGTCGATCCAGCAGGATCCCTTGTAGGCGGAAGAGAAGCCGGAGCTGGGTCTGTCTGACGGTCTGTGGCATGAAGCCGGGGCCAAGGATGGATCTGGGGTAATTGAGGCTTTCTCCCAGACGCCGGCGCGGCGGCTGCTCTGAAGTCTGACTTTCAAAGACAGAGAGACATGCAGTTGCATGAGTCGTTAAGGTTGTCTGGGGTTGCGGCAAAGGAGGGGGCTAATTCTAATTGGAAAACTCTTGCCATCTGAGCTTCTGGCATGTTTGGGATGGCGTCCCTTGGAATTTCTGAACTGATAGCAGGCAGGGTCGCGGACTACCTACTCTCGCTTCATTCATTCCGGCGCTGAAACCATTGGGCAGAAGAAGACAGTGCTTGTGCTTTGGACGAACAGTCTACTCAACTGAGCAATGTGGGAGAGTTGAAACCGTCATTCCTTACCTAACACGCCTAGGTAGGCGTTATAGAGCACATTGCAATGGATCATCATCGATATTTGAGCTCTCTGCCGATGGGGGAGACGAAGAGGTGATCAGTAAACAAGAAAGACTGGCAGTTCGATTAGTCAGACCAGACGATTGGGGGCGCACAACCGGGTACGCCATTGTTGTCAATGGGACGCCGTGGTAATGTCTAGGGAAGAATACTCAGAGGCGGGATCTCGATTCGGCACCACTACCCCGTCGGTGGGCTGGGAAAGTGTAAGCGTTCCCGTGAGTTTGCTGACTATTCTTAGCGAGAAGGCTTTCGAGAAGCTAGTGGTCTGAAAGAATAGAAGGATGCAGGGTATGTGTGAGCGGCAGGGATGATCGGGATGACGAAGATTCTCGGATTAGTCGGTGAAGCGGACAGCATCGAAGAAATAGAAAGAAGTCGAAGAGGCACAGAGGGAGTCAAACGGACAGCATTCGAGGGTGTCGCGCTGCAGCAACGTGCTCACCCTGCACACCCCGCATGCTGGGAACTTGAGGTGATTCGACAGTCGATGCTCAGGAATGCGTTAGTAGTCACCGTGCTGAGATTCTGAACTCACCCTATCGCCGATTGGATTTGGATGTCAGGGATGGCGGGAAAGGCGACATCATGCGGGCAGAACGCTTGGCGCGGGCGTCTTGGAGTGAGTTGAAGTCGATCTCAGCTATCAAAGCTGTGAGGTGTCCAAGTGAGTAGAGGGGATGCTACAGAGCAGGATTGAGGTGGGAGATCCCCCGGTGAGCAGCATTGGTGGTGGGAGACCACCGCATATGGTATTGTCACCTCACATGAGCGTCGTGAGATGGTGGTGCCAGCGGCTGTGGTGAACTGCCGTTGCGAAGACGCATTGGGGCCAGACGAAACGGGTTTATGACACCGTCAAGCCTGTCTCGACTCCTCGCGTGGGTCGTCGTTCGGAGCGGCGTGTGGAGCACGTTTTCTTCGCGACAGTCTTTCCGGCTTCGAGACTCCCTTTGCTCCGCTGAGAACTCACATACCGTTCCACAGCACCCCGAGCATTGGGTTGCGCCCCTGAATTGCTGGCAGGCTGCAGGGTGGCTAACGGCGTTTCTCTGCGGCAATTTGGTCGACGACATCTCTATCTTTGCTGAAGTTGACGCAATGGGAGTGTGTAAGATGGCACGCTTCAACATGTCGAGATCTGGCCGAGGTGACCGGTGAGCAGATAGAGGAGCATGCAGCTGCACACCGGTGAACGTTACCTAAGACCTTGCACGAAAGGGTTGCTGAACACTTGTCCTGCAGTGGTGGTATTTGCCATGGAATAGGTGTGTACACATTGGTGGGTGTGGCACGCGTGCCATGACAAACTGGGAATGCCAGCAGTCATGGCAAAGACTCAAAAGCGCGTGAGAAAGAGTACGAAGCAACGTCAGGCATTCGTAGAGGCCCCCCCCCCCCCAATTGAATGACCAGTTTAGACTGCGGTTCTTGCGAGGCTCTGCAACCCCCGTTTGGAGTGAATTAGTTCTATATGTAATTGATAGAGTTGTAGTGTGGAGAGAGAGAGAGAGAGAGAGAGAGAGAGAGAGAGAGAGAGAGAGAGAGAGAGAGAGAGAGAGAGAGAGAGGGTGTGTGTGTGTGTGTGTGTGTGTGTGTGTGTGTGTGTGTGTATGTGTATGTGTGTAGCAGATCACTCGTCGTCACCCTTCCTTCCCGAGCCGGTGAACGTCAGTCAAGTATCGATCTCTACTGGCTTCGTCGTAGATGCCAATGGGTATTCTATGGAATCTGCGATTCTCAAGGTCTTCTTTGAGACAACGTTGATATTGGACCGGAAGTTGTTTGAACAACGTTTGCTCCGGCTTCATCGGAGTCAGAAACAGCACGAGGCGATTTCAATCTCTCTGCCACTTGTTGTAAACTTGAGACACCCCGGACTGGGGATGCCCAATAGAGATCAGCGCAGTCTTGAGGGGTCGGCTTGAGCCAGGTCGTTTGCATACTCGAAGGGATCCATCCCGGATGGCCCATCGACGATCTGAGTGTCCCTCACAGAGATCCGCAGCCCCCAAAACAAAGGAGGGGTGACAACCTGGGACCGGCGGCGCCGTCAAGAGGACCCTACGGTCAAGCAGGAACGCAGGAAACCGCGGGCAGCGAGTATTGAACGCAGCTTGAGGCGGAGACTTTTCTGATTTTGACGGGGCCAACAGGCTGAGGTGCCGTGGTGCCGCGAATGTGACGGTGTATTTTCGAGTAGCATGCACCAGAAGGCTATTTCGTGGCACGATAGGATACAAGCAAAGCCACACATGGCTACGTCGCGACGAGGGTGTTCAGTATCAGCACTCCGAGAGGAGGTTCCCTCTCCTATTAGCTACTACACCTCTTGACGAGGAGACCAGCTGATGGTGTCTCACCTCGATGGCATGGGCTGGGACGGGAAGCCCCAATGCAAGTGCCATCTAGCATGCCCTGCACTCTAGTCCCCGGCGGGACCAACATGCGGCGTCGGCTTGTACTGACTAACCGGCGGAAACGCGGATGTCATCCATCCAAAGTCGAGCGGTGTCAGCTAGACAAACGAGGGTTGCGTGGGTTGTCGCCAACCAAAAGGTCCCCTGTACTCTGTCGTAGGTGGTACTGGATTACCTACGTCGCTCAACAATGGACTTGGAGTGGAGGAGTGGCCGTTGAAAAAACAGTTGTGCTCTAGCTCGTTGTCCTTGTGTCTCCTGTGACGAACTCTGTGGACAGTGGCCTCGGCTTCGGCGTTGAAAGGCCGGGGCTGAGAGCTGGAGGACCGAAGATGGGATAGCCGTGTTTACGAGAATGGCATTTGACTGTTGGACCCTTGGGGAGGTGTTTTTGGAGGGTCCAGATGAGTTGGCCATTAAGCCGCGCCCGTCTGTGTATTAGTGACCCATGAATGGCATTTTGCGAGAGACAGGCATCTTTGGCTAGCGTGCCGCGCAAGGGAGCCGGAGGAGCAGAGTTTCCCATGTGGCCGTGTCAAAACTTTGGGCTGGTGTTTCTGGCGCTCTCCCTTGGTGTTAAGACAAGGTCGTCTTGGGCTGAAGTTTGAAGAAGGGATGCAGTACGTGTATCATGTCGGAAGTAAAGGCAAAAGAGCAGCACTGCAGAGAGGGGACGAAAGCGTTGATTTGCCCGCCGAGTCCACTGTTACCATTTGGAGGGCGCAAGGGAGATGAATAACGACACCAAAGATAAGGCAGGGTGGAAAGCAAAACAAAGCTCGAGAGATACGATAGGACCGACTCTTTGCCGAGCACGGTGATTGTCTGTCTATCCGTACAGACACCGGAGTGTTGCGTGTGGGTGTGCCAAAGACCGGGAGTTGAGGGTGGTAGGGCAAGGCAGGCCGTGGGTTTGGAGGGTCTCGATGCATGGTGTAAGTGTTGCTGCGCAGGATTTCTTGCATGGCCGTTGTTGATTTTCGTCTTGTCCTTGGTAACTCGTTTCTTTTCCCGGGTTGTCGTCTTCTAGCTCTCCCTCCTCTTTTTCCTGTTCCCACCCCTCCGCAGGTCTTCGGAGCCCCCCGGTTTCTCCGCCTGCCTGATACCTGGGGTGCCAGTGAGGCATGTGAGTGATTGGCGGCGTGTGTCGTGACTCCTGAGGCAGTTTGGAAGAGACCGTGATGGCGATGAGGCAAAGAAATAAAGAGTATCCGTAAAAGCATTTCCATGCTGGTAATACCGAGTGAGCATGGAACCTTGAAGCAAGAAGCCTTGGACTGACCACAACAACTCTGCCCTGTTCGCTGGACCGTTGTTGATTTGTTTCTAGCGGACAAAACCTCCGAGTGGTCCCTCAGTGGCGGCCCCTCCGCCAGCCCAGTGAAGCCGAAGCGTGATGCAATGGCCAGGGCCCAGGGCAGGGCCAGTGTCCCGATTCCCGTCTCGTCCAATGTGTGACTCGAGGTGGTGCGGTGGTGAGGTGGTGGTCTTCTCCGCCCTCTCTTGTCCCGTCTTCCTACCTGCGGTACGTGTCCCGTGCCTGTGAGTACACAGTACCTGCCCGCCCAGCCAGGTACCTAGGAGGGTAGCGTCAAGTGAGGGCAAGTACGGCAGGCGGGCACCTTCTTGGATTCTCCTCTGCTCCTGCCCCTTCCCTTCCCCTCCACTTTCCCCCCCAAAAGCCCCAAAAAGTCACACCCGACTCCCCGACTCTCTCGCTCGTGTTTTAGCGACCGAGCTAACTGATTATGGCCCTAGACTGCATTGAGTAGAAGAACGCTGCGTCGCATACAGATTTGGCGTATTATGCATGTACATCTACTGGGTCGAGTCCCGTACATCATCACTTGATTGGCCAGACGGGATCTTATCCCCGCTTTATCCGCCCACCCTGACCACTGGATGCTTCTCAAGACCCATAATAAAGGACGCGACCACTGAGCACCTCTTGCCTTGCTTGCTTCAAGGCGTGGATAGTGCTGGCTCGGTTTGACTGGGCTCCTGCCGACCTGATTGAGACTGACCTGGAGAGTTTCTCCTCTGTACCTTCCACCCACGTACCTTAGCTGAGGGCTGCTAAGTGCTAAACGCAAAAAGGCCAACGCAAAGACGGTAATGAGTGACTGACACCATCATCACAAAGGGTCACCCTGCGGCGTGAACTTTTGCCTGTGCCGTTCCCTGGGATCTTTTTTTTTTCTTCCTACCAGAGTTTTCTTTTGGTGTTTTATTTGACGACGACACACAAGGTCCAGTACGGCCAACGACCTTTGCGAGCTCTGGCCCTGACTGCAACGCCTATCGTCGCGTTCACCTTCGCGTCTCCCATCGTCGACTCATTCCGTCCTCGCCCGTCTTTCGAATAGACAACGAAGAAACCTTGGTCGGTCCACCAGAACTACCACCGACCACTGGCATTCGATCATTCACTTCGGTCCACGTCGAGCCCACCCCTTCCGACTCCCAAGCTCCTTTCCTGGAGTCTTCGACCGCTTGTCGCCGACAATACCTTCACTTCTCCTTCCACGCCTCCGCACCAGAGTGGGCAGTGCCTTGTGTCCAACACTAGAGCTCTCATCGCTACTTTGTGCCTTGGACCCTTTCGCTTCGATTCCCGTCATGTCTCGTGGTCTGGCTTGCCTTTAGTCTTGGCCCTTTGCCAGACAACCTGGCCCTTACTCGGTCTTTCGAGTTGAACCAATTCGCGACTTGCAACAGCCACGACATCTTCACGCCCTACCTCGAATACTCACTCCCCAAAAAGTCCTCGCTTGCCGAGACGATTCAAAACGGCCAATGGTATCGACACAATTCGGGATCTCACCCGCTTCTCTCCCACAATGGAACCACCGCAACTCAACATGCTGGCGCCACCGGCCGTGACCTCTCTTCGGGCACAGGCCGGCGTCATGGAACGATCTTTGAGCGAAGATATTCGAGAGGAACGAGAAGAACTACGTGAAGCTGCCGAGCAGACTCTCAACGTCATTCTCGACCTCAACCTCGACGGCACTATTCGATGGGTCAGTCCGTCATGGACCGATGTGATAGGCACTCTGCCCGATTCGGTCAAAGGAACTGCGATAGCCGACCTGATCGTTAGCGAGAACAACACGGCATTCGCAGATACCGTAGAGTACATGAAGAAGGACGACTCGCGGAGCCATAGAGTACGCTTCGCCGTCACAATGGGTCCACTGTCTAGGTTGCTACCCATCGAAGGCCTTCAAGACCAGGAGCCCAACGAGGTCGACGGAGGGGTTCCCGAGGCAATTGATCTGGAAGCCCAGGGCATCATGGTTTACGATGGTGTCTCGGGGGGAGAGAGCCATGTAAGTACCCATACTGCCCTTATTAGCCTGACTTCCTTGCTAACAAAGCGCCTGCTAGACAATGTGGATGATCCGACCCTATATTGCACCCAGAGAGATCAAGATTGACCTCCCTGCCTTGATCGTCGACTCTCTTGGATCCGGTGCTGAAGTCCTCGCCAGCTATCTTACGCAGCTAGCCGAGTCTGGCGTCGATGACCCCGAAAACCACCCGCCGCCTTTGCCCGTTCTGTGTCGTATTTGCGAGCGACAAATTTCTCCTTGGTGGTTCGAAAAACACACCGACCTGTGCCTGCAGGAGCATCGGGCAGAGATGGATGTGCAGATGGCGCAGGACAGTCTGACGGACCACCGACACTCCATTGTGAAAGTTCTCGATGCTCTCGAGGCGAGGAAAAGCCGGCCACTCACAGGCGACCAACTTTCTGGCCCAGCTGCTGAGTACAAGGGCTTGCCAATTGGTCCTCCTCTGTCAGCCTCGTCATCCCCCGGAAGTTCCGTTTCGCAATCGAGAGAAAGATCAGGTGGTTTTGGTCATTCCAGAGCTCGCTCTTTCGCCATCAGACGTCCTCAGGCAAGAATCGTGGAGCTGCTGCTTGACCTTTGCGATACCGCCATCGAAGTCAGCACTCCAGCGGTGAAGGAGGCTTCATCACAAAATCCTGGTGAGATCAGGACGCAATCTCCTCAGTCCGAATCCCGCATCTCACAAGTCATGCAATGGCAATCGCCCAGTACCAACACTCTGGAACAGGAACAGGGCTTAGCTCTGCTCTGCGCCGACACTGAAAAGGCTGCGAAAACCAAGGTTGAAGCAGTCTTCAGACACCGGAAAATCATCGAGTATGCGGAGCGCATTAGGATTGAGTTCGCTGTCATCGTGCAGGACTGCATAGATGAGGCAATGCGGAAAGCAGCTCGAATCGCAGCTGGTCGGCTGAGCGATTCGACCGAAGACGAGGAAGAGGAGCAAGCTACACCGGCGCAGGAGGAGCTCTTCTTCCAGGGATCTTTTGAAAATCCTTCAGCCCTTGCGGCTGCTCTGCAAAACGTCAGCCTCAATGACAACACCGACAGACCAAGACCTACCTCCTTTGTGGAATCAGCGCGCTCAAGCAGCCCTAGAGAGTGCCCGACGCCAAGATCGAATTTGGGGGGTCTGAACCCAAATGCACCTGCCCGCGAGTCTCGGCGAGAGTCCTTGCTTTTCGAGAGTGACGCTGGAGACAGCGATGGAAGCATTCGCTCTTCTTCGGTGGCTTCCCGACAGCCACCGCGTACCGACTCTCCGATTTCTGAATTCGGCGATCTTCGTCGTGCAGCTAGCTCGAGACAACATCATCGCAGAAGCATCATTCTACCCGGTACGTCTTCGCCTCGACGACAAGAATCACCTTCGCGTATGAACCAACCGTCATCTCCTCTACGAATCATCAAGCCGCGCAATTTCCCGTTTCCACAAGATGGCATTACGTCGCCAGAAGCATCACCCTTGCTACCCGGGAGTGATTTCAGCTCTCCAGCTCATTTGCCAGCGAATCACCACCGTCGACAGTCCTCAGCAGCCATGTCCGAATTTGTCATGAAAGGTCCGCCATCCCCTAGAATGGCTGCCCACCAGCCTCCCCCTCAGGCAAGGCCGGCGCCTCCTTCCATCAAAGATTTCGAGATCATCAAGCCAATCAGCAAAGGCGCTTTTGGCAGTGTCTACTTGTCCAAGAAGAAGTCAACTGGAGAATACTTCGCTATCAAAGTATTGAAGAAGGCAGACATGGTTGCCAAGAATCAGGTGGGCAACGTAAAGGCTGAACGCGCCATCATGATGTGGCAAGGCACCAGTGAATTCGTCGCCAAGCTCTACTGGACCTTTTCCAGCAAAGATTACCTGTATCTCGTAATGGAGTATCTCAACGGTGGCGATTGTGCGTCTCTGATCAAGGTTCTGGGTGGTCTTCCGGAAGACTGGGTGAAGAAATACCTGGGCGAGGTGGTTCTTGGCGTGGAACACTTGCATAGTCGGAGCATCATCCACCGTGATCTCAAGCCAGACAATTTGCTCATCGACCAGAAGGGTCACTTGAAGCTCACGGATTTCGGTCTATCGCGCATGGGTTTAGTTGGGCGACAGAAGCGAGCGCTGGACAATCAGAATTCCGATCCCACGCCCGATCTCCTCAAGCAGGGGCCATTTGCCCGCTCAGCATCTCTGGCATCGTCTCGGTCAACCTCGCTCGACCTTCATGGCCACACTCACTCACCTAGCATGACGCCGCAGATGACACCTGACACTGGCTCCAGCGGGGGCCAGCCCTCATACTTTGCCTTGGGAGGGCCAGAGGCCCGACGAGTCTCCAGCCACCGTAGCGATAGCGGTGGTAGCGAAACCCTTGCTCGCATGCTCAATAGCTTTTCCTTGACCGACCAAGAGCACAATGCCTCGGCCCAAAACACGCAGCCGACGCAGGATGATGCGAGCGAAAGCACCGGACAACCTTCGCCAGACATGGCGGCACTCCACCACACCAGCACTCAGTCCAGCATCGACTACCTGGGAAAGAATACTCCGCCGCAGTCTACGATGATGCCTCCGCCGATGGCTCTGTTCGATCCCGAAGACACTAATCGCCGTTTCGTGGGGACACCCGACTACCTCGCCCCCGAGACTATCAAAGGTGAGAAGCAAGACGAGACCAGTGATTGGTGGTCTGTTGGCTGCATCATGTTTGAATTCCTCTACGGATTTCCGCCGTTCCATGCCGACGAAGCTGAGCAAGTCTTTGAAAATATCCTCGCACGCAAGATTCAGTGGCCGGATGAGAACGAATGCGAACCAATCTCAGATGAGGCGAAAGATCTGATCAACAAGCTGCTCTGTATGGAGCCCCAGTCGCGCCTTGGAGCCAATCGAGAGGATAAATTCCCTTGCGGTGGAGACGAGATTCGCAGCCATTCTTGGTTTGAGGGTGTCAACTGGGAGACTTTGTTGGAGGACGAGGCTCAGTTCGTTCCTCAGCTCGAGCACCCCGAAGATACTGAGTACTTTGACGCTCGTGGCGCCGTATTGCAGTCTTTTGCCGAAGAGATGGAGGATCAGCTCTCACCGCCAGTCTCTGGCGCAGGCTCTGACTACCATGACCGACCGCATGATGCCTTGTCCAGGGTTCGATCTCAAGTCAACTCGATCAAACGCAACTTGATGCCTCTCCACATCCCTCCACACGTTCGGGACTTGAAGAGTAGACGGCTTAGTGAGCCTGTAGTTGCCGATGACTTTGGCAGCTTCGCCTTCAAGAATCTTCCTGTACTTGAAAAGGCCAATAAGGACGTCATTCAAAAACTCAGAGCAGAGGCATTGGCATCTCAAAATAAACCTACCGTCGTGAGTCCAGGCGGCAGTGTTACTTCGCCTGGTCCAGCTCTCGAGGGCAGCCCAGTACTTGCCAATCCTATTCAAAGAACAATTTCCAACGCGAAGAACCGACCTCAATCACCGTCCGGCCTCAGTCATGCGGCCTCGTCTCCGAGCAGGGCATCTCAGCCATCGTCGCCACTGCTAGTCTCGTTCGTCGCAGGCCAAGGCAGCGAAGGCCGGCGCAAGGCCTCCAGTAACTCCTCCAGCCTTTCACAGCAATCGAGCGCTCATCAGCCTGCGTCTCTCGACATTCCCCGAGTGCCACCGAGCTTGCAGAAGGCAGCAACAAGTGTAGCTGCATCCCCCGTCAAGGGTCGTGGGGCTGCACCTCCACCGCCGCTGGCTCTCTCGCCGCAGAAGATCGTGTCAACGCCCAGACAGGCCTCAAGCAGCCGATCGAGATCTTTGACTGTTGGCTCGCAATCCCAAGAGGGGAGCCCCATTACCTCCGACGTTCTATCGCACCACCGCAATCGTCGCAGCCAGGTCTTCGACATGTCACCCTCGTCGTCCGACAACGAGGGTGAAAAGCACAATGCACTTCTCCGAGTGCAGCGTCGCCGCCAGAGTTCCCGTCGCCTTTCCCAAATTGCTTTTGATGGGGGCCCGATGTTCCGCCCACTGGATGTCTTAATCTGCGAGGATCATCCGGTCTCCCGCATGGTCATGGAAAAGCTCCTGGAGAAGTTGCGCTGTCGTACCATTTCGGTATCGAATGGATCAGAAGCTGTCAGATACGCCATGAGCGAGATCAAATTTGACATCATCTTCTTGGAGTACAGGTTGCCCCAGATTAATGGCGCTGATGTGGCCCGCATGATTCGGGAGACTAAAAACACGAACTCGCATACCCCCATCGTCGCAATCACGGCATATCTCAAAGAGTTGCAAGCTCCACATTATTTTGATTCTCTCATTGAGAAGCCTATCTCGAGTTCAAAGCTCACCGAAGTTCTCAAGAATCTTTGTCAGTGGAAGCCGGAATCGCCTGGCGTCAATTTCTCAATGTCCCTTGGACACTCTCACCCTGTGCCCTCTGGCCTTCGTCAAACCAGCTCTCGAGCAGACGATAGCCCGACTTCAAGTTCATCGCTGTACGCTGGACGACCAGGTAGCAGCCTTATCACTTCGCGTGAGGACTCCATCAGCTCTAGTCTCTTCGGCGACTCAGAGTCAGTGTCGACAGATGATGTGCCAGTAGTGATCAGCAGAAAGGCTACTGGCGACTGGGACGAAGGTGGCCTGGGCATCAGCCAGGACGAAGTCATCCAACCGGTCAAATCACCAAAGTCACTGCCACAGCTCCCACAGCTAGTGACGCAACAGTCTGCTCCAGGTCAGCTGGAGCATAGTCGACGATCGGCACCGCCGCCTTCGGTAGAGAAGCTGAAAGCCCGGAAAGAGCACATGGAGAAGCGCCTTGCCGAGGGTACAGATTCGGCTGACGATGAAGACGAAGAGCTTGGCTCCGGCCGGGACAAGTTATTCCGAGGCAAACCTTTACTGCCGAGCTCCAAGCTAGGAATCGAAATGATGAGGGCCGATAGTCACGACAGTGTCACCTTTGGGTCTGAAAGTACGCCGGAGCCTGTCACACAAGTCGTGACACCTTCCAAGGAAATTGACATGCCTTCGTACGAGACTTTACGAGCAGCAGCCACGCGTACGCCCCCGGATAATGGCATAGGCTCAGAAGACAAGACACCCGGTTCCGACGTTGACGAGACGCCGAAGCCGGTTCCAACAAACAGAGAGGACGCAGACGAAGCGCCAACACCAAGGCCTTTGGTGGATCGATATGTGGTATCGGAGAACTAAGAGCATAGGAGCGCTCGCACACCTAGCAAAAACGATGCGGAGACATTTACCAGCCGACAAAGCCTGTTATTTTAAGGCCGTCTCCAGCAGATATGGAACATCTTTTCTTCTTCTTTTTGTTCAGTTGTTTACCCGACAGCGAGGCGTTTAGCGGGGACAACAGCAACACGCAGACTGCATCATTTCCTTGAGTTTATTGGGGCTGGAAAGTATCATGGCGTTTATGGTTTTGTTTTCGCAGGTTCAGTCCGAAGGTCTCCTGGAGGAGGATGCAGGATTGAGGGATGGGGAGGTCTTCTATTCCACTGCATGTTGTTGCATTTGTGTGCAGGGCGGATGAGAGGATGCTGCATTGCCCTGCATCCCAACTTTCATTCTTCTGCACAGACTTCTTTGGGCGAATCGCTCAACACCACACACCGCTCCCGACTTTATTTTCTCTTTTTCCTTTCTATATTGTTCTGTGTCTACACGATCTAGGCTCCCTGCTACAAACTGCATTTGGTTAACGAGAAGGGACGGACGAGGTCGAGATTTCGGACGCGGCAGGGTTCTGTGACAGAAACTTGGCCCTTGCTGGACACGAGAAGAACAACCGGGCAGGCATGCTCGGCAACTGCTTATCGATCTATCATACTGAGCGTCGAGGGGAAGACTCTTGTTTCTCTCTTCTTTGTGCGTCAAGGTTTTTGCATTTGGGTCTGACGCAATGCCGCCAAAAACAGGGGGGAGTCACGGCTGAATCCAAACAAAAGCCTCTTCAAAAAAACAAAACAAGACTGAATACAAGTATTATCAGACTGCAATGACGTTGATGGCTACGGCCACGCTTCCGCTCTCCCCAAGTGTGTGATGTTATGTGTATCACTCGTGTGTATACAACTTGCTGTCTGTTCTGGGGATGATAAAATAAGGTATGATGATGGTCATCCAAAGAAGCGATCCAAGGAGGCAACCTACGTGCCTTACCTACCTGAACGACATCATCTTGTTTTCCCCTACCGGTATGCTAATCATGGGACGACCCGAGCAGTGGCAATGACGGCGAAAGGTAGGTTTTTTTGGCAAGCCGTGACTGAGCACGCCACGGAGGAGCTCTCGGACTCTTGGCGGTCGAAACGATGACGGATTTTACAACTTTTTGGCGGGACGTTGGGACCATCGAAGAGACGTAGGACTGGGTGCCTTTTGAGAAGTGGCAAGGTCTCTTTTGGTCTCATCTGATGATGTTCAAAGTGAGGCAAACATGGGGTCGGTAAGGTACCCTGAGGAAAGGAAGGTCCGGGCCCCGGGGGGGGGGGGGGTCTTGATGGTTTCATGATTATGATAGTTGGCACAAGTTAGAGCACACGCATATGTACATGTTTAGGCTGTGGTGAGTCGGATATTGGGAAGGGACTTTACATTTGGGTTTGATGTGCTCCTTTCTCCGTGGAGATATCCTCACGCTACGTAGTCTAGCTCATTTGCGAGAAAGGGCAGAATAGGCCTCCCCCTCCTTTGGCAACAAGCTCACGGTCTCTAGAATGAGGGGGTGATGCCTGGGCCGGGAATAATTCGCCGGGCGGACGAAGAGCACGCGGAGAAGGTGTTTTTAAGGTGTTCGGGCCCAGAGGATTGAGTTTACCATCGCACTAGGTTGGCAGGCGTCCTTATGTGGCATGGAGAGAGTTGGAGGAGGTCTATACTAAGCCTCCTATACAGCACTAAGTCTAGATGGCGGGCGATGTAAGGAAGGGGGAGGGTGTATAGCAGCGACCGCAGAGGTAGAGTCAAACTAGAAGGGGAAATCTGGAGAAAGGAGAGATCGATGGTGTCGTCGGCGATGCGATGCGTGGTGGGCCAGTCGGTTCATGCAATTATTGGCTCAAAGTAGCATGGTTGATTTCATCTCAAGTTTGCTTGCTTTAACAGCAAAAGTCTTGTCCTATATCATTCTGATGAAATGCTAATATTCAGAGTTCACGGTGCATGTTTTGAGATGCTTATAGATTTCATCCGCTCCTTGATATTTATATCTGTCTTTTTTTCTTCTTTTTTCTTCTTCTTTTTTTCAGGGATGTGTTGTGTTGCTCAGTTGGGGAGCTGACGTCTGTGACATGGCCCTTGGCAAAGTATGAGAGAGCTGGAGGAGGGGATTATAGAATCAGCTCGAGCTCGAAAGAAGAAGTGAGAAAGTCAGTGAGTGAATGAGAGAGCGAGGAAGGGAGAGTGAGACGAAGAGTGCAAAGAAGCTTTGCCAATGTACGTGGCGGCCGAGGCTTGTGTGAAAATCGTGTGGACTTGGCACTTGGCGCTTGGCGGTGCGACGTTGACGACGACGACAGCTGAGGGGGACGACGTTGCGACTGAGGGAAAAAAGAGGAAAACGGGCACGCGAGCACTTTCTCGATGGCGGCTAGCACAGGCTGCAAAGGAAAATTGCCAAAAGGCTTGGCGATGGCTCGGCATGCGGGAAGGACCAAGGGTTAGTGTGGTAGATTCCTCGCATAGCTCGTAATTTGCCGTACGATGAAATTTCAATTTTTCGAGGTCGCGTTTTTCGCTGGAGGTTCGTCAACGCCGTCGTCAACGCAAGCCCTTCATGCAGCCACAACGTGCATGGGAGGGAGACTAGGCCATGCCGGAAGTGCGGGTTTGCTGGGAGTCAATAGATCTGGCACGTTTTCGTTTTAGGGACGGTGATTGGCTGGATCTGGATGAGTTTTGTTTCGGCGGTTCTTGTGCTTCCTTTAAGCTCGTCCATGGGCGGCAGGCGGGCAAAAGGTGGCATGCCATGAGTGGAGCCTCACCTCAGTCGAGAGAAGAAAAAAAGGTGCCGTGTGGGTAGTAGCGGGGTTATTTTATGGGGAAGACGAGGAGGAATGCTGGCGAGAGATTGGTCCGACGATCCATCCGTCACCTTCTTTTTGGTCGCCGCTTGGTCACTTGTATCTTTTTTTCTCAGGCTGATACTTGACAGGAAGGCACGCGGAAGGGGAAGGGGAGGGGAGGAGCGGCCAGACCAAAACAAGCCAGGAGCAGAGGAAAGACTGGAGTCTGCAGTCTGCAGCATCGTGCTCTTTCTCCTCCCCTCCTTTCCCCTTCCGCTCGCCTTGCTGCAGGTTGGGACTTGGGGGGTGGTTGCTCTTTCTGCAGCCGCAATTGGCGGGGCGAGTCAGCAGGACATGGAACGCCTGAGCTCTTCTGCTCAACGACAACGACTGCGACTGACTGCACGCGGTTGACCTCGGCCGAGAGAGAGGGAGACGACGATACGGAGGGAGGGCCATTGTTTGGGAGAGATTGGGGAAAAGAGGATCAGTCAGGCAGAGAGGCACAAGGTGGGGGATCCAGGCATGGCAGAGATGGGAGTTTTCTAAAAGAGTCCCGGTGGAAGGGGACTGCCTGTCTTGCATGTGTTGAACCATGGAGACAGATTGTGCCTCGTGGGATTTGGAGTTTGAGAGCTGAAGCTTGAGCTCTATTTTACACACTTACCATTACACAACTGCCTTATACTGCCTTCACAGCACTCTGGAGTTGAGGCGGAAATGGCGAATAATGGTCAGTGCTCGAAATTGGCATAAAAATAAAAAGACTGCCTTCAATGCGTGACTTTCATTCTGTCTGTGACGGCCACAGTTGCAGTTCAGAGTATTTTGGATTCCTTCCCCCCGCGTGCCCTCGCACATCATCCACAGCACATGGTACGACTTTGGCCGAATTGGCAACGGGAACTGTCAAAGCTGATGGCTGCCAAGATGTGTACAAAGGTACTTACCTCTCATTCTCATAGATATCCGTACGGAGCAAGCACATATCGGGTGAGGTGTCGTGTGAGAGAATGAGAGAGCATCGGCGGTGGCAGGCTGGATCTCGGAGCGGTGGACAAGGGCAAGGCAGGCGAGGCAGGATCTTCGGGAGCGACAACCTGGAAAGACCCAACGGGCCTAGCAGCTATCTGCTACCGTAGCTGGCTCGCATTTTACCTGCTTTCTTTCCTCTTCGGCTCTTCCTGTACCTTACTGTACGCAGTACGAAGTACGTTCCTAGCCTGTGCGGCTTTGCCTCCAAGGTCCAACCAGGTGACGTAGAGCTAAGGTAGTGTGCCCCGCCCGTTTTCGGGTTTGACCGCAGCTGGTCCCTGTGTCATTTTTTTTGGTCTTCTCTTCCAGCTTGAGTTTTTTTTTTCATCAATCTTTTTTTTTCTTCCTCTTTAGCTGGTGCTCACTCAATCCCGCTAGTCCAAAACCAAATGAAGATGGGAAAATAATAACAACAAACCACACACACACGAGGTCAAGTTCTGAACCCAAAGCTCAAACTCGGCTTGCCTTGTCTTGTCTTGTCTTGTCTTGTCTTGCACAAATATCCGTACACAATACACACAGACACGCCTCTTCAACGGCCACCCGTGTCGCCTCTTACCTCATCACACTCCTCTTCTGGCCCTGACGCCCTGGTGGCTATGGGCCTTCCCACACTTCACCTTGACTACAAGGCGAGGTACCTCGTAGCCGTACACGGTACAATGAGAAGGGAGTAGGAGGGAAGGTGCCATGGATACGTCCGAGGTCGCGGCGAACATTCAAAGCAAGAGTCCATGAGCATCCCAAAGGGTCTTTCTACATTCATTTACTACATAGCTTCTTGGATGTAACCATGGACGCTGCCGATGCTACGAAAGGTCAACATCTTCCCAGGTCCTCACTCATACGCAGTATAGCAAGGTCATAGCAGATGCCTCCCGACACGGGACATTCCTCTTCTTTTTCCATGCCATGCCATCCCATGCCATCCCATCCTATGCTCCGGTCCATGGATCCCAGCCCAACCCCCAGTGGGGTGGAAGTGGGCAGAGTGGCCACACCCCACCACAGTCCTAAGCCCAGTCTTCCTCTTCCGCCTCACGACCATCAAGTCTCTGAGTCTGCAGTGCTGCACATCGCACCCCCCTGGTCCATTGGGGGTTTATTCGGTCTGTCCATCCAAATCACCCGGTTGGACGCGCTTACGGCAAGTTTGGCAATTGGCTTTTTCATTACTGTTATCGCTTTGTATCTCGTTCCATCAGGAAGCCCAGTCCACAGCAAAAGGCCAGAAGCCGCAGCAGCAGCAAGCACCCCATCTTTCAATCTCTGACCCTTAGCTCCTCTTTGCCCATCCGTAACCCAACCTAGGGAATGATTCGAGACTACCCCGGCGACGCGGTACATGTACTTCGTACACCACCTATAGTATCCCTATACCTGATGGTCGTCGACCTACCCAACTCAAGGGGTCCTTTCGGCACATCAGAGAACCGTTGACCCGCCGGTGAGGCAGCCACGGGATCCAATTCTCGACGGAGACTGGTCCAGAGTCCAAAGACTCGAGCGGCTCCTCGGGGTTCGGCCGATTCCACATCCAGGACATCTTGTCACTGAGGCAAGACATCTGCCCCGACCAAGCCCTCCACCATCCCGGGATCAACTTTGCTTATATCTGCTCCCGTCCCTCTGGGGCCCATCATCATTGTACTCCCTTTCTCTCTTCCCGCTGTGGCCATCTTCAAACCTCCTCTCCCCCTCCATCCTCTGCCTGCTTTCCTCAAGGTAAAGCAAGGAACCTCTTGCACCAGTGAACCTTGTCCGTGGGTTACCGTCCCATCCTATCAAGGTTTTGCTTTGGTCTCCCCGCAACCCCCCTACGAGACACATCTAAATACCACAGCCACCCGCCCTCTTCACATCGGCGCGTGAGCTAGTCCACCTCGTCACTAAACACTTCCTTCTCACGACCCCAGGAAGTGTCTCGGACACCTCACAGTCTTTATTCACAATGGCGACTCATCACCAGCGCCATTCCGCCCCCATTGGCGTGATTCCCGTGCCTCACGGTCCCGAGACGGGCCAGGAGCATGAGGACTACCCCCGGGAACACACCACCGCGCATGAGCGCGAGATCTTTGGTCACGTCACGCGCCCCGACGACTCATACACCACCGACGGTGTCTACTGGGCCGATTTGCCCTGGTGGAAGCGCGTCAACTTCGTCAACAAGGTCGATCGCGATGAGGCCGCCAAGGAGCTCAGGGCCACCGGTGAGATGATGAAGAAGGATCCCCTTTCTCCTCTCACCTGGTACTTCCGCAACGCTGTTCTTCCCGGAGCCGGCCTCGGTCTCGAGGGTTACGTCCTGTTTTCCATCGGTAACTTGGAGCCTCTTTTCGCTGCCGTCTGGCCCGAGTGCTGGGGTAAGGGACACGCCGTTTGCACCCAGAACTGGGTCGCCTCTGTTACATATCTCGAGATTGTCGGCATCATGATTGGTCAGGCCGCTGTTGGTGTAAGTTTAAAAAATCTCGCCTTTGAAAA